CGGCATTGCGCCTTCGAATTTATTTGAAGAATAAGAGGTCATTCACACTTAGAATTTTTATGTATGGAATTTTTCTCACTTTGGGTCTCGTAATTAGTATTAAACTGTATTAATTCATGAAGCTTTTAATTATAACAGCTGCTTATACACCTGTATACATTGTGACAAATTTAATTAAAAAATAAAATCGTATTCACCTGCTTTATTCTAAAAGACACTTTGCATATCAGCTTTCGCCCGCGACTTCGTCCTCATGGAATTAAAAAACAAAAGTACCATATGTGTTCTTCCAGATTATCCTCTACATCTATGCCAAATTTAATCGAGATCTGTTTTATCAGTTACAGGTACAGACTCTAACAAACACCTATCCATCTAAACACTATCATTTATAATTTGAATAAGATAGTATGATTTAATGTGTAACTTGACATAACTTCAAATAACTTAGAATTGTGTGTAGTTGTGCAAGAAGTTATAGGTAATTCAATACGTTAAGAACTGGGCAATTTGTACAAAAATATCAAGTTTATAACGATTACACGAGTGAACGTTGAAAACTTATAGTTAGCGTTACATAGATCTGATTTCTCTATCTCAATACCTTTACACCCACAGATACCTTTTTCGTCATATGCGTGGTTCACTTACATATTTTGAATAAGAAACCCAGCTTTTTATATCAACCAGATAATCTTTTATGGGTATTTTACTTTCATTGTCATTGACATGCAGTAATATTTTACCTTATATGCATAGTCGAATTCGCTTTTATCAATATTTTACTATTACTTAAGGACGTAAAGATATAGAGAAAATACAAGTAGGAAGAATGCAGAATGTATGATTGTCAATGTTTGCCTTGAAGAGGCATTTATACATTTATCGGTATTGTGGTAGTCGAGGGCAAATAGTGCCTACATCATGCCTTACATCGTTTAATTTATTTACAAATATGTTTCGTTAGTCTTTTATCTTCAATCCTCTGATTTATTAATATAATAATCATTTCTTGTTCTTCCGATAGTAAGATATTAGATATAGTCATTTAATAAAGCGAGTGGTGTGTTCTATCGCCGCCTACAAAAAAACACTAAACTTCGCAACACGATTAAAAATATAAGCACGCTTTGATGTGACCGACGAAAGTATTGAAGTACTTTTAAAATTTAAAACCAGTTTCAGTTTGCAGCCCACCTTGTGTTAATGTTGTCACAAATCATCCTGACTTTTTAATCGCCGTGACCAATCTGCTACAATTGTCATATGTGTCAGCGCGCCATTTTAATTCGCAAAAAATGTGAGAATATTGTACATTTGAAGTTCTTTTAAACTTTTACAGATGGACTATGGCTTTAGTTCATGAGTTGAAATAGAATAAAATTTAAATTTTCTTTTTTTAATCCGGAAGTTCAAATCCTTTCTCTTCATTAATGTTTTATCGCTAATATATATCTCCAAAAGAGGAAGTACAATTAATACACAAGGCAATTGGATGTTACATGCGATAGCGCTAAAACATTTCGTGGTTATTTTTTTTTTAAAGAATATTTTAGCCTTTTCTGTAACTGGCGTCACAGTATCATACTGATATTTTTTCACACATAAGTGCGGATTCGATCATTAAGTGTATTATATCGTGTATTAAAACTCGCACTACAAGTATTATAATAAGTTTTTTTTTTACTTATTTAAATAACATTGTTGCATTACAACATTCCACGAAATTATTGGAGGTCGATGCCTCTCTCGCGCCTATTAGCTATTTTATGAGTTTCTCAAACAGCAGATATTTGTTTATCAAATTTACGCTTCCGTTCGCATTGCGGGCTGAATACGAAAGCATTTCTCGTTATTTAATAGAAGTACTACAGTTTACATAGGATATTAACAAAAAAAATCTATATAATTTGTACACGTACACGTAAGTTTAGCCGTGTTATAAATTATATAGTATATTGTCTCCCGAAAGTTTTAATAAGTTAAAAAAATAATCGAAGAATATTTTTAAGGTTCTTTATAGAACCACTTTTTTAAAATGTTTATTAGTACACCGGTTTTTTTACAGAATCATTACAATTGAAATTAACGTTAAACGTAAAGTAAATTACCAATTAATTATAACAAACAATTAAATAACTGGCAACTTAATAGAATTCAAGTTGTATATAAACCTATTTATTCACCACTGTGAACTACCATAACTAGAATTGATAGTACATTGTCAATATTTTAATTGCATCTACATTTAATTAACGAGCGAACACATGTTGCGACATACAAGTATGCACTCCAATTCCAAAGCTACTTTATCACCGCTATAAAATATCTCGTTCAAATCATCAGTTAACTTGGAATTAAATGACTCACAGCTAACGATTTTACTTCAAATCGTAGTTCATGAATAATGTAGCCCACATTCTTTTGACCTAGATGTGGCGATATAATTAGCCACCGCTTGACCGCTAGTGGCCACCGTAATCGCCAAAAACAAGGGCATCTGGGCGAACACAATTGGTATATTATTACACTAAAGCACGCGGTATAAGTGCTATAAATTTTGTCGATACCGTTAAAAGTAGTTCGTATAAAGCTTTACATGTTGCGTAATGATTTCTAGCTAAAATTTCTATATTGTTTCGTACTATAAAAAGAACGTAACATTACGAAGAGTATAACCTAAAAATAATCAGGATTTCGTTACCCTTTGCCAATCTACTTGTGTATTACAAGCTTAGTCTTCTACATGAATAAAATGTTAGGTAACTTTACTTAGAAAATGCAATCTTTTTTATTTATCTTTGTTATTATAAAACAAAGAATTTTAAAGACAAAGCAGAATGTAACTGGCTTTTGTCCGTTGCATAACGTTGCTATAAATTAGTGCACGTAGCGGCTGCGCGCATTTCATATGCGCACGAGTTGACGATATAAAAGATTTCAACGCTCAAATCATGCGATGCAAGTTACGTTACAATTGCAAACATGATCATTAGTAATTGAGTTTTATGTTTAACTAGCTTTCGCCCGCAACTTCATCTGCGTGAAATTAAAAACAAAAATAATAGGCTATGTGTTCTTCCTAACTATCGTCCACATCCATACCAAATTTCATCGAGATCCGTTCAGCAGTTTACAAAGTCTAACAAACGTAAATCTATCCATCTATCCATCTGAACTTTCGTATTTATCATATAAATAAGATTTATTGTTTCTGTTTTTGTTTATTTTAATTAAGTAATATTTAACTGTAAGATGTATTTATCAGCCACTATTTATACTGAAACTAACGAATAAATTATAATAATACAAAGTTTATAAGAGTACCAAATATCTGTCAGATTTTAATCGAATCTATTTACTATGTTAGCTAATAAAAGTTGCTACCAAAATCCTTTAACGTTTAAACCGATCTGTATTTTGTGATTAATCAAACCGGCTACATCGAGATTCGAGACACGCATAAAAAGGTGTGCGCTATTGCAAAAGGTACACGTAAATATGCGCTTCGTTTATTAAGGTAGACATGTTTAAAGATTCAACTTGATTTTGAAAGGATCGCTTTTTCCCTTCAGTAATTATAGACTTTACACTATATGTAAATGTAATTTAAAATTGTTCTGGATTTATCTTTCAATAATTTGTTTCTTTATTGCTTTCTATCCAATCAGTAAGGTTATCTTATCATTTTACTATTAAATCATTTGTTAGTAATGAAGTTTAAGACACGAGGCATCACGAACTTAGAAAAAGATAACGCTAATGAATAAATTTTCAAGATATGATAAGAGTCATTAGGACGTTTCAAGAAAGATTAAGCGCTTTTATCAGCTTTTTAAATTCAGTGTCCACAAAGTCTTCTTATTGCGGCATTTAAATAAAAATCTCAAGTAAATTCTTAAAGATGTTCGATAGATATTCCGAATTGAATAAGTAATCGTTTTGTGAAGCGGAAAATTTTTATTTTGAATAGATTTTGTATCGTAGGTGGTATAAATTGATACACGTTGATGCTGTTGTGATAAATGTCGCGTCTAACGAGAGACCAAAAGCCATTGTGGTGATAAGTGAACAGAGATACATCGTTAAGATTACACCGCTGTCCACCACCATCTCCCAAGCGGTACGAGGCACAAGTACGTGACGTCATTGAACCTATTAACGATAAAAGAATCGCCTTTTAAGATGTTAGTATTCGCACCACGGCGTGCCATTACCGAGAAACTGTAGAAGCGGCATTTAACAAGAACCAACTTTTGTGATGATGCGATATGACGTTTTGATGGGATCCGTATAAAAAGTTGTCCATTGTCTCTTCGTTTTATATTTCAAGCTCATGATTATTTAACTCATTACATCAAGGATGTTGGGACAAAATTCAACACTTCTTGCCTTATATACTTAAGTAATGCAGAAACAATAAAACTTTGTGTAATAAAATGTATTTGATAGCTGGTACCTGTGCTAATAATAAGACAAATCATCCATAAGCTTTTGTAACAAAAAACGTGATCCCTTTATTATTATAATCGATGTTAACATCATGATACTTAGATTAAGTTACGGCAGAATACTGAAACGAATGCTTACTTCACTTCATAAGCTCCGCTTACTGTTTGACGAACAGCAATATTTTAATAGAGACTTGATTTTATCCGTGATTTTATTATTTAAGATCGAAAAATCATAGAAATCAATTATAAAAAGAATCGAAAAAGCATAGTCATATTAAAAAGCTTAAAAACGGTTATCTATTATCCAGTCAGTTATGATACCTGCGGAAAAATAGATGTTCTAATTTCGATAACAAGCAATGAAGTAAAACATCAACAGTACATAGATTATCGGATAACATGCATAAGTAAAATTATAAGTAAATATTTATTTAAACTTAGTAAAATCAAATATAACAAAGCCAGGTTAAATGCTAATCAACTCGCGAAATTATACACAATAGAAACATAAAGGGCAATTGTAAGCAAATCGAAGTATGTACTCACTGTTATCACGCAACAATTACGAAAGCTCGTAGTATCAGTTATGTAAAACAGGGCGCGCTCGCGCCTGTGCCAGCACTTTCGCTCCAGACAGATTCCCGCCAAAACCAACCCCGCGCACCCCCTTTCAACAGCGCGCCACACGAACCAAACGTATCTCACAGTCCGCACTCAGTTCCGATGTTCTATTTGTATTGTTTATGTTATGT